AATAGAATTGATCAGCTTATCACCATGGCAAAGGTAAGCTGTCAATGTTTTTTCTTTTCTTTTTTTTTTATTTTATTTATATTTTTTAATATTTTTTTTTTATTTTTAAAATAAAATTAAAAAAATAATATATAAAAAGATTTAATTCTTAAAATAAATATATTATTTATATAGAAGTTAATTTAACTATAATTGAATTTTCAAAATTGGAATTATCAATTATTTTTGTAATTATTTTTCATATTTAAAATATTCTAAAATCTTAAGATACTTATAATATAATCTAATATTTCTTTATTTAAAAATTATTTTAATTATTAGAATAATTTGTTTAATAGTTTAATTAATAATTTAAACAATTTAAAATACAAATTACTAAAACTTTTTTAATTCAGAAAATTTGGTTTTTTTTTTATTTAATTATATAAGAACTATTGAATTAAATTTAATTATTATAAATAGTATGTTTTCTTTTATATTAAAATTATTTTCTATTTTATTATATAATAATTATATATTTTTGATATAATACTTTCTTTTTCTAAAGGTAAATAAACCTTTTTTTTTTTTAATATTACATTATTATTTAACTTTTTCTTTTTTAATTTGTAAAACTAAATTTATATTATTAATAATCATTGATTACTAATTTTTTATCTAGAATATTAAGTTTTTTTTTAAATAGTTTCAGTAAATCAAGAGTTTATTATATTATAGATTTATTATTATATGAGAGGATTTCTAGTCTGAGAAATTCTTGACTAAAATTAAGAATTTAATTCATTTGAATCTAATAACATCAAAAACTAAATGCAATAAAAATCTTAATTTTATTAAAAAAAATTCCCAGAACCTGATTTTCCTAGCAATCAACCATTTAATATCTAAAAATTCTATTATTTTTTATAAATAAAATTTATTAAAATTTTTTCTTTTTTTTACAAATTCTAAATAACTTTAGAAATTTGATAATTTTTTTTAAAATTTAATTGAGTAATATTTTTTTAATAATAGTAATTTAATTCATTAAATTAAGATTCTTGTTTTTGTAAATTCAATATTTGTCATGAACTTGTCTAATTTTACAAAGTTCAAGAACAATAAGTAATCAACTAAATAAGGTGTGTGATGAATTCTTTAAAATATTTTCTCTTGTTTTTCAGATCTGACTTTCAATATTCAATAATATTCATAAACTTGTTTGGTAGCTATTCTAACCAAAACGCTAATTCTATAGAACCTATCTTTTCCAATAAATTAGGAGAATCAGTTACCATAGCCTAAGCATCAATTTCATTTACTTGACTTTGTAAATGAAAAAATTTTATAATAATTGCTGATAGGACAACATTGAAGTTTTATAAGCGGACCAAAGATTTGGGGTAATAATTTTATTGGTTCTAACATTTTTAAATTGTGAATTAAATCTTTAGAAAAAAAAGTTTATTTTTTTTCTTGAGGTGAAATAAATAATTTTACTTACCTATGATGATGATTTTTTTCACCAATCTTTGCCATGTGTTCTGCAATTGCACTATTATTTTCACAATTCTCTATGCCGGAATTTCCAAATATTTGGGCCGCAAAAGGTGAGTTTGTTATTCCTCGAGTTTCCGATAGGAGGTCGTAGTATCTAAACAATTAATAACAAAAAATATTTACTTGAATTATGAACGTGTTAATAAAATTAAATTTACCGATTGAGTTAGTGTGATCCTTAGAGAGGCCTTATAAACACTTAATTCAATAATTCAATAAATTGTTTTCATAGCAAAAATGACTTATTTGCTGCAAAATAAATAAATAAATATAAACGATATCTTACATAACGGGATTCAAGTCATGCCAAGCTGATAAACAGCAAGTACTTACTATCACCAAAGAAATATGCTTGTTGAAATACAGTTTTTTCAATGTCCAACAATGCTTTGACATCGGTCATTTTATTAAGAGAAAATGTCAACTAAATCGATATAAATTTTATTTATATGTACTTACCGGAATAATCAGTGGCTTGATAAAATTGACATTTGTCGATAATATAGAACCTTCCGCGGCTTGAAAAGAAAATGTGAAACTAAACGGTTATTTTTTTCTCCCCACTTCCTGTATTAACGAAAATGTTATTATTCAAATTATAAACATATCAAGATGACAAACTTAATTTATACAGTTATCCTTTATTTGCAAAAAAATACAATTCCTTTACTATGGAAAAAACATTTTAGTAAGATAAGTTATAATATCACTTGTCTTAATGAGGAATTTGTCACTGAATTTTGCGTTGTTGTTTATGCGTCAGGAGTTCATACTGCTGTAACAAATTAATTTTCACCTCCCCTCGCGAAGGTCACCAACATTATGCTTTAAGATTGAAGAATTAAATTTTAGTTTTGGAAAAATCATGAATTAAAATATCAATACATTACTTTTAATAAATATTATCAAAATTTAAAAGTTTCACAATAAATAAATGGAGAATTTTTTTTGGAAGAATCATTCCATATTTAGAAGCAAATCAAGATTTTTTGAACAAGATAACCTTTTTCGGGATTATTGAGATGTCACAATTTAAAATCATCAATGGTAATAAATTACGATCAATATCATACAAGTTTTAACGGATAATTTTCAAAACATTAATTATCTTTGCATGAGAGATATAACCTGTAATTCACCTTTTATTTATTGGGCGAGTAAAAAACACATCGAAATCAAAATCAACGAATCTCACCATCAATTATTTGGATACCTCCATCAACCCACTTAATGTTAAATTTAAGTTCACTTTGAAAATTTTTTTTTTTTTAAAATCGTGATAAGGTTTATCCTATATATAGAAAATTTTTTAAAAATAAAAATTTAAATAAATAGAAATTTTTTTAAATGAGATTTATGTTCAAATGTCATTGAAAAACATTTAACTACAAATTTTTCATACAGGAGGGACTTGTGAGACTATGTTTGGATCGACGAGGATTCTAACCAAAATTCGAAGCCGAAATCCCGATTCATTATCTTACACTGAAACTCATTTATGACAAATGATTCCCAATTTGGGAGACTGGAAAAAAAAATAAAAAAAAAATATTGGGAAAAAAAAAAAAATAAATAAATATAATTATTTGAAACTTTTTTTTCGGCGCAGTAAGCAAGGTATAAATATTTGTTATGAAATACTTGTAAACAAGTTTAATTGTTAAAACAATATACATTTGAGATAGTTTTAGTTATTTGACCTTCGAATATATTAAATTATTTTTTTTACAATAAAAGTCTTTTTTTTTTTTTTTTTTCATAAATTCTACATTAATATTCAGATCGTTTGATGACATTCGGAGGGAAACGCATAATGTTATGGGAAGGTCAAACGAATAAGTTTATATATACATATTTTAATTATATTTTATACTTTTAATAATAATACTCCTACAATTAAAATTACACCGAATAAATCATTAATATCAAACGGGAGAGATCGTATCCGAAGAATTATAGTAATTCCGATTATGGTTGTTTAATGGATCAGTTGAATGGATAGGACTTGGTGGAGTCACCGCGCTAGAATAACGACTATCATCATCACACTCATAAATCGTCGAGTGTTCTATATAACTTATTCGCATTGACTTTGTGGCTGAAGTGATTGACATGGGTTCCATATCGGTTGTGATACTTTCGGACGTAAAGAACGAATTCCGCGTATTTATAAAGTAAGTCGTTGGTGATGAGGCCGTGGTGATGGATCGACGAATTTTGGGTACCATGGATATCACAGGTTTAACGGATACAAGATTACGAGTGATACTATAAATTATCGCATTTGCTAATCCTGCGCTCGTAAAGATACTTGCCGCTGGAATTAAACTATATGTAGGGAGAGAATTCATTAGATCAATTTATTCACCAATTTATTTATTTATTTTATTATTTTCTTTTTTTTGAAACAAAGGGAAACTTTATTAAATTGTGCTTACTAGAAAGAGGACCAAATATTTGAATTTTGAAAAGCAAGACCAACGATACGTTCTGTAAGAAGATTGGCAACGCGTGGTTAGAGGTAATTACGTCGTGTTGCCAAAGATCGAAAATAAGTACTTACGAAGGGCTAACGGAAATACGAGAACGATATAGACGGCGGGATACCATACAAGCTTCTTATTCACTCTCTGTAAAACCCTCTTGGATCCTCTCGTTGCCATTGTTTGACGTTTGTACAGAATCACAAACATGATGGTATAGATGACGCTCATGGCCGCGGCATTGAATAAGATGATTCCGTAATGAAAACCAATTCGATATTCTTGATAATATTTATCAATCCAACACCAACTACCACCCGCGCTACCATAAAACCTTTTTCCGTCGGTACCAAGTTGAATGGCGAAACCTAAAGCCGATATTAAGATATTGAACGGCCATATGGTTATCATGGACAGGAATACTATATGTGGATATTCATAAGAATGGACCACGCGCATGTAAGTATGCACGCATATTACGAATGCCCAAAATCCCGAGGCAACGTCTCCTAAATTGATGAGGAACCCTTGTATATCGCAATAAATTCCTGGTTCTATTATCCCTTTAATGGCCCAATTGTAGCTTAACATGAACCCGATTGATTGTATAAAATCGGATAAAAATAGATTCAAGACTAATCTTGTAACCACGGTATGTAGTGAAGAATGATTTTGGCTTATTATACACAAAAATACCACGAAAACTGCTAAATTACTAATCGTACTAGTTATTAATATTGCTATCGTCCCTCTCAGATTAAATTCGGTTACGTCATCCATATTTTTAATTATACGTTGTTTTTAAAATATAATCGTTTTTTTTATTTTTAAAAGATTTTCTTTTCTTTGTTTTTTTTAATTGAAAAAAAAAATTTTTTTTTTTAATTATTGTTTAAGTTGATGATATTTATATTAATTCATTTTATATATAATATTACAAGTATAATAAAATAAACCGGTCTTAATCATAATTTCGTTTATTACATTACATAGTTCAAATGGTTGAACAAAAAGTAAATAAAGGAATTATGTATGAATTAAATGGATAATGACAACTAAAGAAATTATGTTTTGTACTTAACAACTAAACAATATTAATAGGGATGAGCGCAATTAATACCTTTTTTGATATTAAATAATTCATTGTACAATTATAAAAAGTTAAAATGAAAATTCTTTTTTTTTTTCTTTTTTTCTTGGATACTGTGTTAAGTTTAGTAATAATAATATTTTTATTTATTTCGGAGTGGGCCAAAATTATTATTTCATTAAATTTAGGGACTTAATTATTAACGGACACTATATATATACACAAGTTTCCTTACAAATCAAGTTTGCGTAATTAAACAAATTCCCTTCGAAATATTTTTTATCCTAGTCGCACAAAATTAAAATGACATTTACACACACTTATACTACTTACTGTTTTTATTTATTCAAGGATGTAACGCGTCGATCCTTTAGACCATAAAACAATATTTATTAAGAACAATAATAACTCCTAAAATTAGTTTATCGTATTCAAAATCCCAAAATAGAAACAACATATGGGAAATCAGTTTCTGTGGAAAATTTCGATATTTTTACTATTTTTGATGTGATTTTATTTGATTAAAATGCAATAAAATATGTAATAGATTCAAAAATAAAATGTTTGTATTTACTGGCTGGTGAGAGGAAACCAATATACTTTTGGAATGTATATAAATTATGATTTGCTTTTTCTTTACTATATTATTTAAATCAGCTAAATAAATACTTAAAATTGGTTTTAAGGTATAGTAATTGTAAAATCGAGATCTTTTACTTTTTGTCCGATGACCATATACTTCTAATGTCGTTGCCTGATCAACGAATGAAATTTGTGGATTTGTTTTTTACCTAATTTGTGTTAAGTACGGTTTCCTTTCCATAGTAGTTAGCAATTAATTATACTATCGCTATTGAAATATATATCTTAAAACAGGCTTGCTACATTAACTAAATTAAATTTGTTTTGTATTTTATGATTAAGTCTGATTTTGGATTTTAGGACCGAGTCTCTATTTTTAGAACTTAATTAGCATCGAGTTTTAATGTTAATTTAGCAATATTGAATTTTATAATCATTTATATAAACACAACCTAATGTTGTACAATCTATGATCTTTTTGATATAAATGTTCTAAATGTTCAAAAATAAAATAAAATACATAAGCGTTAATAATGTCATAATATTCAGAAGAAAACTCAATTAATAATGTTTATAAAAATGAAATAAGAAATATCACGTTCGCATCAAATATTTTTTTGCTTATAATAATAGTGTGTTTAGTTTCCCTGTTTCATTTTTTTATTAAAAAGTTCATGCTTGTGAAATGCAAAACTATTCTTTTTATTAATCTTAATTTTGAAGTTAGTTTGAATACTTCAATAATACAAAATTTATAAAATTAAGTCATTAAGTTATATAATTCTGATAAATCTTAATTTTTTTTGGATTATGATTTTTATGATTTTCGAGAAAGAATACAATTTTGAATCGGACTATGATTATAAATAAGATAAGCAAATTCAAAATATATCAGATATTTTCAATGAATAAGATAATTATGATGATAATAAAAACTCATTTTGCCGAATTTCACTAACATAAAAGTAATCTAATAATTAAACATTTAAACATCCAGACCGTTTAGTTTGTTGCAAATGTCAAATGGTTTTAGAAAAGAAATATCCAGTAAATTATTCTAACAATTCATTAGTAAAAAAAATAATATTTTTATAATAAACTATATACACTCCCCCTGGCCAAAAGTTTAGGACCACCCCGAAATTTGCGAAATAATCTACATTTAACCCTAGTTAATACATAATTAACTAAAATAAAATTAGAATTTTGTGTAATATGATAATCAATAAATGATA